TGCGTGTGTGTGTGTGTGTGTGTGTGTGTGTGTGCATATATGTCTGTAATAGTGTAAAACACTATTTCCTACTTGTTTCTCTTTTGTTGTGGGGTCAAATGTGGTACAGACATTTTCTATAGTATGACTACATGCATGTTAGAGCGCCTACTTGCATCAGTAGTCCAGGGATTTACAGTTAAACAGTTCAATTTACAGTTAAACAATAAAATACACTTCAAAAAATAAGACTCATATCAATAAACACAGAGTATGTTTATGACAGCCTATATCTAGTCTTATCAGTACTTCAATATATAGAGACATATATAGAAAGTAATAGGTTCAGTCCAGTGGAAACATACTATACAAATATTAAGTGATTATATGTAGCAAAAATATTATATTATATTATATTATACACACAGTGGGTGAACTGAAAAATTTCTGGAGAAGAGACAATGAACTGCTATAATACAAGCTTTGCTGCCACCTGCTGGAACGTCACCTCAATTGCATCGGATTATCTTACATAACAACTCGTTTACCTAGCGTATTTGTACAAGAGCGTATTTTTAATGGCCCTTGATGACACTTTTACCATAAGTCCGCACATCATCTTGTTGTCATTGCAACTTTGCACCTTGAGTCCGTGCCACATTGTAGAACAGAGACACACCGCTAAACACGAGCTGCCACAGATCAGATCAGCGCTTGTGTGCTCAACACTTATTTGATCAGCTCGTGTTGACAGATCATAGCTAATGCTCGTAAAGGAATGTTTGGCTGAGTAACTCGGACCTCAGAGGCCCCTGCCACCCCTTGAGTGAGTTTGATCTGAAGGCAAATGTCAATGATTCGCCTCACAACGTTGTTTTTCAGGTGAAGGTGTAGAGGAGAGGTTATTCTGCTCTATTCTGTCATCGGTGTCGGGGAGTAACTAGTTGTAACGGAATTACATCATTTAATTACAAAATAAATGTAGCTATAAATGTATTAAAGGGTTAGTTCACCCAAAAATGAAAAGTGGCTTGTGTTTTACTCACCCTCCAAGCATCCTAGGTGTATATGACTTTCTTCTTTCAGACGAATCCAGTCGGAGTTATATTAAAAATTGTCCTGGCTATTCCAAGCTCTATCATTGCAGTCAGCGGGTGTTGCAGTTGAACAGTCCACAAGTCGTCAAATAAAGCGCGCGCATTCATAATAAAACGTGCTTCACACTGCTCCGGGGGTGAATAAAGGCCTCCTGTAGTGAATCCATGCTTTTTTGTAAGAAAAATTTCCATATCTCAAACGTAATGAACACTTTTCTATCACTTCTGCCAACTGTCATATGCGGAAGCCGTGCTGGCGGATGACGTAGCACGTCAGCGTTGTGTGATTAGTGACGAATGCGGAGAGACAACTCATCAGAAATGGACCAGTCAGAAGTAGTAATTTGTGTAAATGCAATGCAAAACATTGGCATTTCCCCCCCCATCACCATGTCCCTTTATAGGGGCTCCGTAGTAGAGCACTAGTAATCCAGATTTGGAAATCTGAAAAAGTGTGTATCTGGATCAGGGTGATAAAATCCTATTTTGCTTTGAAAAACCGGCACAAAAGTAAGATGGGTTACCTGATCCTGATTTTCTAAATTCAGATCATTCTGATCCTGATTAAACGTTTTGAACAACTGACCCCAGGAGTTTAGAACACAGAATAGGACATGCTTATTCAATAACTGTTTTATTTCCTGTTTAGGTTTATGTATATGCTTTATTTTTTTAAGATTAACTGTTTATTCCCCAAGGCATTGCTAGATGCCAGATTTTCCAGTCATAGAAAGATTTCATTTCAAAAACAGTATCATGGCTATTAAACTATTTTTTGTTATGATTTTAAATCTGTATTTAACATCAGAACCATCTCAAAGTAAAAAGAGGTGCTGAAGTCTGATTTTGTGGTGGCTGTGCTTTAAAATGTATCACCATTGGCACATAATGCAACAAAGATTCCTAAAGTCAACTGATTTTACTAACAGACTAATCTCTGTGTAAAAATAACATTATGATGCTGCTATCTTTCTGAAGTTATTTTTACCCCCTTGTAATTTGGCTCTGAATCTCAGGTGAAAGTTGCCATTTTGACCCCCCACTACAAAATAGTGGATTACTCAGGAAATATTTAATAAAGTGTCATATTCTGGCTATCATCACAATACATGTTTATCTTGCTTCAGAAAAAATATTAGCAAAATCAAGAATTTGAGCTGGGGACCTCTGGTTGAGTTGACATGGAATGACCCATCAGCGTTTAGCAATACACTTGATCAATGATGATTTGAACACTTTGTTTGTTCATTTGTTTGTTTTGGCATGGCTGTCATTATAATAAACTACGTGAATGTCACCGGGTTTAGACCATAGAGCACAGGTAGATTTATCTGGCAATGCTTTTAAACCGCTTACACGTGTTTGATAAAATCAATATTAACTTTGAACATTTGATTATTTACTTTTTTCTCCCCCTTTTAAATACAAAGATTAATCCGTTTTTTTTTCTTTGTAGATAAACTGTCTGAAGTGATTCGAGAATAAAGATTCGGACAGATTTTGTAAAGATAAAGATGTTATTTTATTTGCTCTATGGCATTTTAACTTAAAAAATACATATTTTTTAAATGCATTGTAATATAAATGAAAATTGTATTAAAGTAATTGTATTACAAGATAAAACTATGATTCTAACAAATAGAATTTAATGTTAAATATGAATAATAATATTACAAATATATAATAATTATATAATGCAAATATTGAATATTTGAAATTATAATTATTATATAAAAATAACAATTATATAATAAGAACTACATTTATTTATAATAAATATTTATAACAAATTTTATAAAAAATTATGTTTTATACCATTGTATTTAATTATAAATATAATAATTGTAATAATAGACAATAAATTGTAGGCAATTGTAAATCAAATCAAATAATAATAATAAAATACTACTAATAATAAATAATAATAATAATAATAATAATAATAATAATAAAAGAATTTACAATAAGAAAGAATACTAAATGTATGTTC